GACCCACTGGGCTAAGGGATGGCTGTGGGCATGTGCAGGTGATCTGATGTCAGTATGATGGGGGAGAAACTGATAGCATTGTAAACCAGTTGTTCAGAGCTGGCTTGAAGCCTGAGCTCTTCACATGCATTTGAGTTTTACAACTTTCATATATAGATACCAGAAAATCACAAAGAACATTATTTGTCACCAATTGTCCGTCTATAAATCATGATTCAGTGTTTTATTGTTGGCATTCCGGGAAGTATTTTGTCCTGGTTCTGTGTTGTGACAGCACACAGTTGCCAGTAGACGCAGCCAACATTCAATAAAATCAAAATGGAGCAGTGGCTTTGTCTCATCCAAATTCCTGACTGGCTGCCTACTGTGGTGCTCCACTTCTGGATGGGTGAACAGCTGAACACTAATTGAGACAACACTGTTTCTCTTTCGTGGCTTACCGACCAAAAAACAAGATCCCTAATTGATAGATCATGTTTCCATCGATTCTTTCTTACACCTGCTCAGACTCTGTGTATAAGAGTCTATATACTGCAAAGACACAAGGTTTTTTCTGTGTAATAAACTTTATTTCCGGGGCGCCGCGATAGCTCACCTTGTCCCATGTACAGGGGCTGAAGTCCCCATGAGTTTGAGTCCCACTCATGACCCTTTGCTGCAAGTCCTTCCCATTCTTCTCCCCCACTTTCCTCTCTCTCTCTTCACTGTACTATTCAATAAATGCATTAAAGAAACAGGAAGAGCAGTGGATCAGTAAGGTTCAGCCAAAGTTCTGCTGTTTATTATTGGAGCATTGACTGCCAACATTAGCCAGAGGGATGGCATGATGTAGGCTTGTCATCTCCATCACCAACTGCATTTCAAAGGATATCCTTAGGGCAGCACACACATGTATACGCACCATCTTCACATGAGATCACATTCCAGTCTGCAACAAAACGAGGCCACAGCAAACTGTTGGGATTGAAAGAGAACAGGAAACAGTGTCAGTAACTTCCACAGTATGGTTCACAAAATATGTTTAACTTGTGTTTTAATGCAGCTAACAGATGTGGCCACAGGTGTCGTGTTACCAGGCTGTCTGTCATGATATCCTAAGAACACCTTAAGTGAATTTCTTAAAATTTGGCACAAATATTCACTGATGAACTAACTAGAATTTGGTAGGCAATAGTCACTGCGGTTTCACAAAACACACTTTTTGGCCATAACCAAAATTTCACACTGTCTAATAGCATATAGTGATGAGGTGATGAAATTTTATATCCAAGAGGTTTATGTTCAAGGCCAGTTTTTCTGTGGTATGGTAATATTCTGCAAAAATGCTTTTTGCTTGCTGATAAATTTATATAGAATATATAATTATCTAAATAGAGTTGCCTAACCAAATGTTGCTAAACACAGCCCAATGACGCATTGCAGTGTAGATACTGAAGATAGGCAAATAGCTAATAAGTCTATTGTGATAAAATGCTTGATTTTAGTTGACATATACATAATTAATTATTTTTACATGACCCATTTTTAATATAGGGCAGGAGTAAAAAGGTTTAGTCTGAACTTAAACCTAACAGTCTTATTTGCCAAAGTGCAACATAGCAAATAACTTAGATTTTGAAAAGTTATTTGCAACTTCACAGTTGTCTGTTTTCTGTCTGAAGGTTTGTCTGAGATCAAAGGACTGTTAAATAAGAATGCTTTCTGCTGAGCTCTTCTTTTTGTGCTCTTCTTTTTTCCTCGACATGTTAACACTTCTCACTCAGGGCCAGAGGCCAATGAATGCTGGCTTCCCTGGCAAATACTTCATCATTCAGCCAACAAATTCACTTTTTGATTTTCCCACACTAGTTTGCTAAGATGACCAAATCATTGATTACTATATGGAGGACTGAGGTCAGGCAGTTGTCACTGCACAGTTTTCCTTTGCAATGAGGGATTATTGGTAACATCATGTTCAGAGAATAGAGATCAGAAGACAAATCTGTAGTGTCTCCATAAAAAGTAATAGCATGGTCTTTTACTTATGTTTAATTGGAATAAATATTAACACATGAATGCTGTAATATCTGTCTGCACAAAGTGCAGGTAGACCTGCCGTTACATTCTTTCCTATATATACAGGTAGAAATGTATACACAACCTGGCTGCTGTGTGTACAGTTCTTTTTTTTTTTTGTGATTAACATTTTTATTTTCATTGTTTCATTTCAACAATACAACAGTAACAGTAACCATTTTCTCACAAAAATGACAGCTTACTTCTCTCCACCATGTACCCCAAATCAGGAACCCCCTAAGAACTTTACATATTTGCCCCACTTTGCTTCATATAGGTCCAATCTACCCAGTTGTCTATATGACATTTTTTCAAATGCTGCGACTCGTGCCATCTCCACAGCCCACTCTTGGAGAGAGGGTACCCCCTCCGTCTTCCATCTTCTAACAAGTATTTGCCTACCAATCATAATACTGGTTTGGACATAGCTTTTAGTATGTTTATCCTCTCCTACCACAACTGAATCGTCAGCCAGAATAAATAGTCTAGGGCTAAATGGCATTTGTATCTCTGTGATCTCACACAAATTATCATAAATACTGGTCCAGTATTGCTGGACTTTATCACACGACCATAAAACATGAGCTGAATTACCTTCCTCAGATTTGCATCGTCAACACTCTGATGTGGGTAATAGCCCTAATCTAAATAATCTGGAAGGAGTCCAATAAAAACGATGTATAATTTTGAATTGGATAAGACGAATTTTTGCATCCCTTGAGACTTTTTTAACACTTTTACAAATTCTGTTCCAATCTTCGTCTCTGAATGTCAGATTCAGATCCCTCTCCCATGTCCTCTGCAGAGCTGAGATGGGCCCGTTGCCAAGAGTCTGGATCATCATAGAGTAATAGGCAGCTGCCTCGTGCCCCCTTCCATAACTCTTTATGATTTTGTCTCGGAATTCTGCATTTTGGGGAACCGCCGCCGCGGACCCAAAAATCCCCACCAGCATATGCCAAAGTTGCAGGTACCTATAAAAGTGAGATGTGGGGATATTGAACCGCCGCACCAGACCCCCAAAAGATATTAAGGAGCCATCACAATACAGATCCCCCAATGTGACAACACCCTTCTCCTTCCATATTTTCCAATAAATGGGGAACTTGCCAATTTGTAATTTAGGATTTAACCAAATACTTGAAGAGACATTTAGAAAGGGATCAAATTTAAATATTCGAGCAACCTTAGTCCAAATTAATTTGAGATGAAAAATTGTTGGATGTGTTTTTGCTTTTTTATTCAATTTAGTAGACAAGACTTATGGGTGATAGAGGGGCCATTACAGCTTGTTCCATACAGTACCATGGGGGGGCCCTTTCGGGAGGAAGAGACCAATGGGCCAGATGCCTTAGATTAAAAGCCTAGTAGTAAAACAACATCTTTGGCAGCCCTAAGCCTCCCCTATCTACTGGTCTTTGTAACTTGCTATGGTTCAAACGGGGGCGTTTACCATTCCAAATAAATAACTTGGATATCCTGTCAAACCTTTTAAAGTAATAATGGGGAATTTCTAAGGGGAGGGACTGTATAAGATAATTAAGTTTAGGAATACAGTTCATTTTCAAAACGTTAACTTTTCCTGCCATAGATAAATTAAGAGTTGCCCATCTCTCAACATCACAGGAGATTTTCTGTAATAATGGGTCAAAATTAACTCTGACCACATCTTTCAGCTGTCTAGGAAATCGGATACCCAAATACATGATACCTTGTTGAGGCCACTGAAATGCCCCTGGATGAAAAACAGTGGAGGGGCAATAAGCTGTTAGGGGAAGTGCCTCGGATTTGGACCAGTTGACCCTGTAGCCAGAGAATTTTGAGAATGAGTTTATAATTCTAAGAAGACATGGTACAGATCTGCTGGGGTCGGATACCAGTAATAAAATATCATCCGCATAGAGCATCAATTTATGTACCATCTCACCGACAGTAACACCCGGGAAATCTGTTGCCCCACGTACAGCTGCTGCAAGAGGCTCAATAGCCAAGCAAAAAAGCAAAGGTGAAAGGGGCGAACCCTGCCTGGTGCCTCTACCCAACCCGAAATAATCAGAAATAAGCCCATTAGAACTTGTCGTGCTTCATCTGGGTGGCTCTGGAGTAGTCGGGGAAAAGCATAACAGTAGCATTTCCCCAGGTCAGCTTGCCTTTGTTTCTCGCTGCTCGCAGCACCGCATCCCGGTCTGATGATCTCAGAAACCTGGCCAGTATTGGTGTGGGTCTGTCTCCTGGCGTGGGTCGCTGGCCAGCAATCCGGTGTGCCCGTTCAATCTCGCATCTCCCCTCTATATTCAGCAGATTTGGCAACAGCTCCTCCAAAAATCTCACCACGTTTCCTCCTTCCTTGCCCTCTGGGAAGCCGACAAAGCGAACATTGTTGCATCTCGAAAGCTTCTCCATATCTTCTAATTTGACCCATATCTGCCCGATATCCGTCTTGCTAGCTGGCGGGTTAGCTTGCCTCTCCTGCTCGGTCGTTTCCAAGTATTCCACTCGCTTCTCCATGTCGTCCATTCTTGTAATTAAGGATGATAGTTTGGTCTCTACCGATGCAGTAGTGCGACGTATTTCTGCTAGTTCACCTAGGTCGCCAGAGATCTTCGTTAGTGTCGAGCAGATGTTACTGAGCTCTTGAGCTATGTCGTTAGCTTGTAGCTGTTCGGACTCATTAGCTTCGTCTTGACCGTGGGCCATGGCGTCGGGCGCGTTTGACCTTAGATGCCTTTTAATGTCTCCGCAGGCCGAGGACTTAGAAGGTTTCGACATTTTGCACCCCCTTTTAACTACAAATAAGTATATTGACTGACAATATCTCTGGTGGAAATGTTTTAAAGGATAAAGGTAGCGATGCTGTGCGGAGCTCCCTACTCCGTGGCTTCTTTTCGCATCGCGTCACGTGACTCCCCCGTGTGTACAGTTCTGATGGTGTCCTTCTCTTTCAGGGGGAAGTTTGCTGTGGTCAGAAAGTGTGTGGAGAAATACACAGGTAATGAGTATGCTGCAAAGTTCATGAGGAAGAGACGAAAAGGGCAGGACTGCCGGATGGAGATCATCCATGAGATTGCAGTGCTTGAGCTGGCCACAGCCAGTCCCCGAGTGGTCAACCTCCATGAGGTCTATGAGATGGCTTCTGAGATGGTGCTGGTTCTGGAATTGTGAGTATTTAGCTTACACACAACAACCAAACACTCACAGAGGCCTGAAATACAACGTGGTAAATATTCACAAACTTCTGTTAATGTTCCCTAAATGTGGTTATCTTCTTTTGGGTTATCACTTCTTTTGGTTTTCCTATCTAGCCATGAGTGGGTCTACCTGAAAGATACAGTTTTTTGTTTGTTTGTTTTTTAAGACTGATAATGTCATCAGTTGGCAATGTTAGAGGAGTACTTACAATGAATAATACATGATGAAACAGATAATCAGACAATGATACTCAGTGAGGTGAAACACATATCACTATAATCACACATGGGGGATTTGTTCATCTGTTTCATGCCTCAGCTTCCAGTTACTGTTGCTGGCTTTTGTACGTACAGGCAAATCGTGGCCCTGATTATTTTAAACAGCCTCATATACATTACTTAATGTCAGAAAAATCTAGCCACACTTTTAAGGGGGTTACGTGACCTAGTACCACAACATTTGTCACAGACATTAATTTATTCCAAAAATCTTTAGCTTAAAGTTCCATTCAGTTAATTGTCTTAATGGTAGCTCAGCTCATTCAACTGAGCACCAAAGTAGTTTAAACAGCTAAAAATTGCAGGAGCTCTTATTCTTAACTTATCAGAACAGTGACGCATGTTATGAATGTAACTGGCATTTCTACACAGACCACTGCATAGGGTCATTTTTGCTTTGTTGGAGTTTCCACTGACCCCTACAACATTTTTATATGGTGGAATCACTGAAACACATGCGTCTTTGTCCCAACTAGAATAATTGTACATTTTGGTTATTTCACTGATTTATTACAGGTCTTTTGGAGAGATAACAGCAATTCTAATATTTAGTTTAATTTTCATCTCAACTAGGTGCTTCTGGTAGCTATCTGCAAGCTTCTGACAAGTTTCCGGTTGTTTCTTTGACCACTCCTCTTGACAGAATTGGTTTCAGTTAAATTTGTTGGCTCTCTAGCAAACTCATGTTTCTTTAGCACAGGCCATGGGTTCCCAAAAGTGTTTAAATCCTTGACTTTGACGAGACCAGTCTAGAACTTTATTTCTAGTCTGATGCCAACATGCCGGAACTTTTTAGTCATGCAGAGCTTCAGGCCATACTTTAATGCTCCAGCAAACACTAGCTATTCCAACAATGTGCCTCCTATGTTTTCTTATGAATACACACTCAGTTTGTGTTGTGGAAAACGGGTGGATTGAGTGTCCTGTGTCCCAGGCTTAAGATCAACTGGAGCCCAATTCAGTTTGACCCAGTATGTGGGATTCACACACAAACACACGTGATACTGTATGGTGTTGGCTACAGTAGCTGCACCAGTTGTCGATGATCTCATCTCACTGGTCATGCCTGGGCCATGCTTGACCTGGTTCCCATAGTGTGTTTGTGTGTGTCAGTTGATCCCACACCAGGCTGATCAAGTTCTCTCTCACTTCCTCTTCCTGACTGTCTGTCGTTGTCTTTCTCTCTCCAAATGCCTAATTGGATTTAGCCTGCATCCCTCACCACAGTAATAACACGCGCACACACACACACACACACACACACACACACACACACAGTTGAGAGCAAACTGCTAGATTGGATGGTATTGACAAATTCTGGATCAGCTGTCATCTGCTGTTCATGCCCTCTACAAAGGCAACAATTGACAGTGCTGATGACTGGAGGCTACCAGTGTTTTCACTGCATAGGCAGAGACAGTACATGGCAATTCCCCCAATTTGCTGTCATATTTGGACAGTGTGAATATGGAGAAAATAAAAATAAAAAATTTTTAAACTCCACCACATCAAGTCATCACAGAGGTTTAAAATCCAATTGACAGCTGATCCAACAAGCAACAATTTACTGCTGTTCTTTGTCACGTATGATGGAAAATAAAAAATGATTTTGGAGTGTTGGCAGGATGAAACAACAGCATTTGAGGACATTAACGTGGCTTTGAAAAACCGTAATAGACATTTGTCGTGATTGTCTAACCTTTTCTAAACAAAAGGACTATTGGATTAATGAAAATCTGAAATTAGATGTCTTATTGTCACAGATCTCCTGATTTCACTCTATTTTGGCATGGAAGATCACTGAAGAGTGCAACGATGCTGCCAGTGTCACAGGGTTTGTAAGGATTATTTGCAGCAGCCCATGCCATACAATGCAATCTGTCCCATTAAGGGGATCTCATAAATGCCCCTTCAAAGGTTCCAGTAGTCCCAGTCCTCCCCCACCTCAGTCCATAATCCCAATCCCAGCCATTGTTCATATGAAGGATAATCCCAGAATTAACTACTGTTCTGAATAAGGATACTGCTCCATGTCACACACGCACACACACACACACACACACACAGACCAAACCATGGTAACGGAAAAAGACACTACAGTTTGGAGAGTGTTGCAAATCCATATTAATTCCTTTAAATTAGAAAAAGTTAATTAAGGCAAATTCATAATTGTTGTTAAGAATATGTGTTTGCCTGAATATGAAATGCCACAACATGCTCTATAGTAAGACAGATGTAGCAAAAGTATATAGTTCATTTGTCTCATAATTCGTGGTAGCTCAGTTAAAATGTTGCAAGATGTGGTCGACCCTTTTTGATCTGACTGATTAAAAAGTTTTCCTACTTCTAGATCCCTAAAAAACAACTAAACCTTTCCTGACCTTTGCACTACATAAAGTAAATAGACCTATTTATAGCCTTTGTTAAGGACATTCAAAGCCACCATTTAAAATTTTGACTTTAAATTCAACTGGTAATGCACACACACAATCACAGAGACAGGCTGACAAGCTGAACAGAAAACTGGCATCATAGCTCTGTTAAGCATATTAATAAATTGTTGCTAGTATGTTGATCCACTGCTGATAACTACCAAAGGACAGAAAATGTAGAGCTTGTCTTTTCACTATTCAGTCCATCGAACTGCACAGCCCCCTCCTTTTATTTTTCCTATGTGCTTTTACGCGTGCGTGCGTGCGTGCGTCCGGGAGGGAAATAGAGCAGAATGCTTGTATTCTTTCAGGAGAGAGATGTTGACAACATAGCCTTGCCTTCTTTTTCCACCCCATCTTGTGTTTGGCCAGCAGCTGACAGAAATTTCAGGCAGTGGAGCAAATGGTGATGAAGGAGGATTGAAGGATAGATGGAGGGAGGAGGGCGAAAAATAATCTACAAATGAAAGTCCCAGAAAACTGTTCATGCCATGATGAAGAAAGGAAGAAAGAGTGTGAAAGATGAAAAGGAAAGAGACAGAGGCGATAGTAGTTTGAATGTGGTGGAGAGACTGGCAGACCAGAAAGTGGAAGGCAACCAGACCAACCAGAGAGAATGAATGGGAGCGATGGAGAGCTCCGTGGCCTCATTGCTGACTGAGCTCCAACTGGAAGTTCATTATGTCAGTTAAGCCACACGAGTGCATGTGACAGGCCAAAGCATGGCCGCTCACCCAGAGAGTCCCACAGTGGGGGTGGGGAACAGAGGAATGAATGACTTGACAGTTCAGATCAGCTAATTAATGTATTTTTACCAGTAAAGTTTCTGTTACTGAAGCTACCTGTTGACTCCTAGTCAGCTCAGCTGATTTACTTTATTGTTCTCTCTGTCAACAGCTCCCATGAGGATGAGAAACCAATAAAATATTATTGCTTTCTCATTTTTAGCCCATCTCACAACACTCTCCCTGCCCTGTGTGGCACTCTGCCCCCTCCCCCCTCCCCAAAAGACAGAAGACTGGGTCACAAATACATATATAGCCGTAATAACGTCCTAAAATATCTGGTCTCTGTAGTTTTTTATGAAACTTTAGTCTAACAGAAAGAAATAGTACATTTGTTTGACTATTTTCAGGAGCATTAATCCACACTTGGTGTGAAGTATTTTGGGCAGCAGGAACATACATATGACTGATGTGTTTTTAATAGTTTTTAGACAACAATGGAGCTCTGTGGAACACAGGAATATTACAGCTTTGAACATAACGTTAGACCACTGGAACCACAATTTCTACCTCTTCCTTTGTAGTTCTTGATGCTATATTACTATACTATATTTTCTTGCTTCAGGTTATATTGGACAGTTGTTCTGCTGGTCAGCAATGATTCTCTCACTGTATCCCTCTTCATGAAGCACCAACATGGCTATCTTCTTGTCATCTTGTAGCTCTCTTCTTTCAGGCACTGTTTAGTGATCATCTCATTTGGATTATTTGTTCACTTTACATACACAGCATATGCACAAAATAATGGTGACTCAAAAAAGTATTCTGTCCATATAGTGTGGATTTAAACATTTTTACGGTTTTAATACATCATCTTTTAAAATATGATTTATTATACTTATTAAATTATTATAATTTCATTCATGTCTTTCACACAGTGTAAACTTTATAAAGAGAGCAACAGGTGGTCGAATAATTATTTCCAAGCTGTTTCTCAGGCTTTGATACACACAGTGCTTGTTAGCAGAATGCATTTAGTCTTTGTTTGGGACTGTACATAGGATAGTAATAAAACACAGTGTCGATCTATTGAAATGAAATGAAATGAAATGAAATGAAAAATACTTTATTTATCCCAGAAGGGAAATTCAATTGATATAATATTGATGGAGTAACAAAGACTGTCAAAAGACAGGTAAAATTAAAGTTGGCATGTTCTAAACACATTTTTATACTTTTATACCTAGTTTTTAATCACATATATTTACAACAACTTATTTGAATTCAGGATGGTCTGATGCAGATTAATGATGCACTAAGTGACTATTACATTTGTGGTATTTATCTGTCACCATGGCTGGCCGATTAGAATTAAAATTCCCTCCCTTATTATGATTTCAGTTACTAAAAACCCATGACAGAGCTTGTTGAGTTGATGAACAACTAAGTTTTATTCAATCAAACAGCTCATACATTTTCTTTTTATGTTTAATCTCCTTATCATATTCTTGACTACTTTATTGTTTTAATGGTT